CAGCACATCCGGCCCCATGGATTTGTGCTTGTCCAGCTTTTCTAAATAGTCCCAAACCACTTCTTTCTCCACAGAGAGCTGGTCACCTGCTCCCCATGCTGTGCTGCCCAGTGCAGTAGTCTGGTAGTTGAGCTTGTTCGTTAAGACAGAGGCAAAAAAAGCATTGAGTACATTAGCTTTTTCCACATCCTCTGTCACTAGGTTGCCTCCCTCATTCAGTAAGGGGCCCACACTTTCCTTGACTTTCTTCTTGTTGCTAACATACTTGAGGAAACCCTTCTTGTTACTCTTAACATCTCTTGCTAGCTGCAACTCCAAGTGTGATTTGGCCTTCCTGATTTCACTCCTGTACGTCTGAGCAATATTTTTATACTCTTACCTGGTCATTTGTCCAACCTTCCACATCTTGTAAACTTCTTTTTTGTGTTTAAGATCAACAAGGATTTCACTGTGAAGCCAAGCTGGTTGCCTGCCATATTTACTATTCTTTCTACACATCGGGATGATTTGTCCCTGTAACCTCAATAAGGATTCTTTAAAATACAGCCAGCTCTCCTGGACTCCTTTCCCCCTCATGTTATTCTCCCAGGGGATCCTGCCCATCAGTTATATATATATGTATCCCAAACTTCCTGTCAGGCCAAGTTCCCTGTAAGGCAGGGAACCCTGCCTATATCCCAGCACTGGAGCTTCCTATATGCTGTGAAACAGCTGTTCGTGGAGGCTGGGAGGTGCTGGGAGGGAGTTGGTCAGTGGGGCTGCCGGTAGGTGAGAGGTGCAGGGGGCAGGGGGAGCTTGGCCTCTGGTGTGCTGCTGAGCAGCACCTGCGCCTATAACGCCCTCCCCCCAGCCCCAACTCAGCCCCAGCCCAGATCTGCTGCAGCTAGGGAGGGGTGCCTATCACAAGGCCACATGGGTGAAGAGGCGGTGGCTGAGGGGGCACAGAGACACATAGTGACTGGGGGAAGGGAGTGCAGGGACACATGGGGATGGGGGGGAGGGGCTGGCAGAGGGGGTGCAGGGCCACATGGGAAGAAGAGAGTGGCTGAATGTGGGCACAGGGACAGATTGGGGAGTGGGAGTCTGAGTGGGACTGGAGGGACACATGGGGAGGGAGCCGGGTGCGAGGACACATGGGGGTACAGGGACAGATGGGGATGCGGGGAGGGGCTGGCTGAGGTAGTGCAGGGACACATGGGGACAGGGGGTGCAGGGCCACATGGGGAGAAGGGGGTGGCTAAATGGGGGCACAGGGACAGATGATGGGGGAGTGGGAGTCCGACACTGAGGGAGTAGAGGGACACATGGGGACAGGGGCAGATGTGCCTGACTGAATGGGAGAGGCTAGGGGTCAGCCAGGTCTGCATGCGGGAGGCTCCCTACCAATCCCTCCCTGCCCCCCACAAAAAACCTGTTCCATATTTCTCCCACCCACACCCAACAACCCTCCAGATTCACTCCCAGGCTCCTTGCCTCTCCCTCAGCTCTTCCATTACCCCTGACTCCCACAAGCCTTTGCACTGTTTCTGAGGGGGGTGGGAAATATGGCTCTCTATTGTAGTTTAAATCATAGGCACTGACTTCCGCACTTTCCCTGGGTGTTCCACCCGCCCTCTGCCTCCAGCCCCGCCCTGACTCCACCCCTTCCATACAGCCCTGCCCCTGCCCTGCCCTGCCTCCTCCCACCCCTGCCCCGTCCCCATTCCAACCTCTTCCCCAAAGTCCCTGCCCCTATTCCAACTCCTTCTCCAAATCCCCGCCCCGCCTCTTCCCCGCCTCCTCCCCTGAGCACGCCATGTTCCCGCTCCTCCCCATCCCTCCCAGCACCACGCCGCCAAACAGCTCTTTGGCAGCGGCTGGGGAGAAGCACTGGGAGGCAGGCGGAGGAGCGGGGACGCGGTGCGCTCGTGGCGGGGGAGAAGGAGGAGGGGCGGGGCGGCAGCGTGAGGGAAGCTTGGCTCCCTCCCTACTGTTCTTGTCAACTGCTGGAAATGGCCCACCTTGATTATCACTACAAAAGGTCCCTCTTCCCGCCCCTGCTCTCCTGCTGATAATAGCTCACCTTTCCTGATCACTCTTGTTACAGTGTGTATGATAACACCCATTGTTTCATGTTCTCTGTGTATATAAAATCTCCCCACTGTGTTTTCCACTGCATGCATCCGATGAAGTGAGCTGTAGCTCACGAAAGCTTATGCTCTAACAAATTGGTTAGTCTCTAAGGTGCCACAAGTCCTCCTTTTCTTTTTGCAGATACAGACTAACACGGCTGCTACTCTGAAACCTGTAATAAGGGACTGCCTGTTGGCAACCCTAGGGTGGGACGCGCGGGATCCCTGTCCCTCTGCAGGGACAAGTGCAGACACTAGTGCAGAGCAATGGTGAGCTGGGCCCAGAGCTTCGCAGCCCCCTCTAGTGGGGATCTCTGGGTGAGTGGCTCTGGCTGACAATCCAGCACCAAGTGTATCGTCTATGGCGGAGCCTGGAAGTGCCACTAGCTTTGCTGTTCATGTGGGTTCAAAGAGCTCTGGTGCCACCTAGTGGATGCTCCCACCAATGCCTCTTCACAAAATGCTCCTTATTCCCCATGGCCCAGATCCACAAGGGTATCTGGGTACTTACTCCCACTGATTTCAGTGGAAGTTAGGAGCCTAAATGCCTTTGAGGATTTGGGCCCTCATGCCAACCTGAGGATACGTCTACACGGCAGCTAGCAGTGTCATTTCCAGCCTGGGGAGACATACCTACAGCAATGCTGGTTGAGCTAAACACAGAAGTGTAGGCATGGTGGCGTGAGCGTGGTACAAGATAGCAGCCCTGAGTAAATCCATCTGAAACATATTCAGGCAGCTACGCAATCCTTCTGCTCTCACTGCAGTGGCTATGCTGCTGTTTTTAGCATGCTAGCATGACCAGAGCTAGCGTGGGTGAGCCTGGATCTAGTGTGGGTATGTCAAGCTGAGCTGGAAATTACCCCTCCAGCTCCAGTGTAGACATATCCTGAATGGGGGAGGTTTAAATGTCTCCATGCTACACACAGTGGAGAGGGAGAGTCCTTTTAAATGAGGGAAGTTGGGGGCCAAGTATCCTTTAAGTGAGTCCTTAAACACCTAGGTTTTGTCTGTTCTACATGTGAAGCATCCAGGGCACGTTTCACATGGTTTCCCCCCAAGATCCTTGGCATAAAGGTCCATGCCCCATCTGTTGTGCACCTGTCTGCTGCTCTCCACCCCAGAGATAGCTGCATTTTGGACATGTCACTCCCACTACCTGCAGTGGGAGCTGCTGTGCCTGCCTGATGGCGGTTTTCATCCCAAAGTCCTTGTCCCTGGGAGCTTCCAATCAAAGGCCCCAATCCTGCAGGGAGCCCTAGAGTAGGGGTGGAGTAGGGGGCAAGGATCGGTCTGTAAATTACATTGAATAAAGAGGTCTAATCCCGCATGGCTCTCGTGCCCACCGCTCCCACTGATTTCAGTAGGGCCTCTGGGCACCCAAGCAATGCAGGGGCTGAGACCCAAAATGAGAAGAGCATGGTGCAAGTGATAGTCACTGCTAGGACACACAGCTCGTTCTTCAGGGAGGACACACGGGGTCCTGCAGTGGTAGGGGGGCACCCTGTAGGCAGGGGGTGGGGGAAGGCCTCCCATGTGCTGCCCCTTTGCTGAACAGTTCTTAGGAGAATAATCCCAGTTTTTATAGAAACCCTAAAGAGCCAAATGGCAGCAGCAATCCTTGTTCCTGAGCCCAGCAGCACCATTCATGAGAGGAGTTAACTCCCCTGCCGCTCCAAACCCACTGGGTGCGGGAGTGTCAGGGGCAGCAGGGCATCACCATGGTGCCCCTGGGCTCCAGCTGCCAGAGGACATGGGGAGCCTAGAGCCACATGCCCTCTGCTGGAAGGGGGCAGGAGGGCAAGAGGGTCAGTACCAACCCCAGTGCATGGGCTAGTGAAAGTGGGCAGTGGGGAGCAAGGGATGAAAACTCCAATGTCAGGCAGGGGCCCAACGGGGGTGGAGGCAGACCATCCCTGCCCCCTGACTGGAGCTGGCTGGGGTAATGGCAGGGCACGCTCCTCAGGAAAATTCTAGTTGCCCCCTTGATGCCAGGCCCTGCTGGGGGCAGGTTGTGTGCCTGACCCTGGGTGGAGGAGGGTGCCAGGGGGGCAGATGGGGTGCCACACCCTGGTGGGGGTAGGTGGGGGATGCCAGGACCTAAGAAGGGTGCCATGACCTGGCAGGGGCAGGCAAGAGTGCCAGATCATAAAGGGGTTGACAGGCCCTGGTAAGAGAGTGTCAGACCCGGCGGGGACAGATGAGGGGGGCCGGGCCGGGGGGGGGGGCGCTGGGCCTGGCGGGGGTAGATGAGGGGGGCCGGGCCGGGGGGGGCGCTGGGCCTGGCGGGGGTAGATGAGGGGGGCCGGGCCGGGGAGGTGGGGCGCGCTGGGCCTGGCGGGGGTAGATGAGGGGGGCCAGGCTGGGGAGGGGCGCTGGGCCTGGCGGGGGTAGATGAGGGGGGCCGGGCCGGGGGGGCGCTGGGCCTGGCGGGGGGTAGATGAGGGGGCCGGGCCGGGGGGGGGGGGCGCTGGGCCTGGCGGGGGTAGATGAGGGGGGCCGGGCCGGGGAGGTGGGGCGCGCTGGGCCTGGCGGGGGTAGATGAGGGGGGCCGGGCCGGGGGGGGGGCGCTGGGCCTGGCGGGGGGTAGATGAGGGGGCCGGGCCGGGGGGGGGGGGCGCTGGGCCTGGCGGGGGTAGATGAGGGGGGCCGGGCCGGGGGGGGGGGCGCTGGGCCTGGCGGGGGTAGATGAGGGGGGCCGGGCCGGGGAGGTGGGGCGCGCTGGGCCTGGCGGGGGTAGATGAGGGGGGCCAGGCCGGGGAGGGGCGCTGGGCCTGGCGGGGGTACACGAGGGGGACCCGGGGGCCGGGCCAGGGGTTGGCAGGTGCTGGGCAGCGCTGCGGGGACTCCGGCCCCAACCCTTTAAAGGTGGCGGCGGCGGCCAGGCCCGCCCCACAGGGCGGATCCGGGCCGGGCCGATCAGCGCCGCCCCGCGCCGGCAGGAGGCGGCCGGGCCAGGCGGTGGCAGCGGAAGATGGCGGCGGCGGGCGCCGGGGAGGCGGGCCCGGACCGGGAGCTGGACGAGCTGCTGGACAGTAAGGGGGCGGGGAGGTCTGGCGGGGCTCCTAGGGGGCTTCCCTCCCTGGGGACCCCGTCACAGGGCAGGCGGGTGTCTAGACCCTAGAGGGGCCTCGGGGGCCCCTGTCCCCAGTGCCTGTGCCCGTGACACGCCCCGCCTCGCTGTGCTCGCAGCCCGCAAGGCCCAGGGGCTCAACCCCCCGGCAGCGGCTGGAGGAGCCGGTGAGGCTGGGGTGGGTCCCCTGCTGCGCCCTTCATTGCCCCCGGGCTGCTCCTTGTGCTGCGGCTGGGATTTCAGGGGTGATGGGCCTGTCCGCTAAGACTCTGTGGGGAGCGGGTGTGTAAAACTGTGGTAAATAAACGTCGTCTTGGACATAAGATGGGGTGAATTGTGGCCCGGTCCCCTAACTGGGGGCTACTGGGGTAGAAATTACAGTGATTCCTCAGGGCTGTGGGAACCTGGTCTGTGCCTGGGGTAGGGGTTCGCAGCTGGGATGGAGGATTTAGTTGGAGATCGGTCCTGCTTTGAGTCGGGGGTGGGACTAGATGACCTTCTGAGGCCCCTTCCAGCCCTGATGGTCAACAACAGCTGGTCTTTGACCCACTTGGCTCTCTCAAACTGCCCGGTTGGCCTCTGTCAGTATCTGCGTTTGGGAAACTTCAGGGAAGATGCAGTGGGTGACCCTCTTCCCAGTTCTCTTGCAGGCAGTGCAAGGGCGGGGAGTGCTGGTCAGAGGGATGTGTCCTCTGGAAGAGAGGTGAAAGTTCCCAGCTATCTGTGCTTGTTATGGACTCCCTAGCATTTTCACAAGAGCCTGGCCATTTACTCTACTGGGGCTGAGATGCTGCTTAGCTGATTGTAGGGTGTCATCTTAGATTTCCTTGTGGCTTCATTTACATACAAGATATTTTGTCCCTCATTTGTCTTAAGTTTATTTAAGTGGCTGTTAGCTGCCAAGCTTCACCCCAGAGGCAGTGGCATTTCAATGGTTTCTATTGTTGGCATTGGTGGGGGTGGTTTATTTTATATTGCAGTAGGGCCCAGAGGCTAACCAGACTGAGCCCCATTGTCCTGGTGCTGTCTATAAAAAATGGCAGCCCCCGCCCCACAGAGCTTACAACCCAAAAGCCAAGGCATAAAGCGGGGATGAGACAAACAGGCAATTTGTGTTGAGGGAAACAAGGTAACAAATAGTAGGATCTGGGTAATTCATAGTCAGCCGGGAGCAGGGATCACACTGTAAATGTCAATTCACTAACTTTCTTTATGTTTGCAACACAATCTAAGATTGGACCCAGATTGCTGTTACAAGAATTTGTGAATCCTTAAAGGGACACTGTCACACTAAAGTATAGTACTAAAAAGTTTTCTCGGCTAGGTAGTAACATCGCGGATCGATCGCTAAACTGAATGAATGCTAAGAATTTAGGGCCCAGTTCCGCAAACACTGAATACCTGGTGGCTTCATTTATAGTCCTGCTCTCCTTGGGGTCAAGTCCGTAGCCAGTGGTGGTGAAGGTAAACGTGCTTTCAGGACTGGAGCCTTCCTTCTCATTCTTTATGCTCCTGGTTAATGTTCTGCACGCCTCTCAATTTGAATATCGATGCAAAGCAGTCAGGTGGACCTCTGGTTCGTCATGAGTTTCTGACCGATTTCCTTTGAGGTTTTCTGGTGCCAGCCTCGTGCCACACAGCTTGGTTCAAACAAATCATTTTTTTTAAAAATGAACTTTAAATATTTCACTAGCTCTCAGATTTTTTAAAAAAAATCATCTTTCACAAAATCTGAATGTCGGGTTAAATTTCACCTCATTGGGTCCCTTTAACCACCCCTTGGTGCCTTGTGTCAGTGCATCATCTTGAGCCCTGGGTAGAGGGGGAACTTGCCCCACAAAACTGGGTCTGCAGGGATTATGGCCATGTTGCCATGCAGCGGTGTGCGTAAATTAAAGTACCACGCGTAGGATGAGAACTGGACGTTCATCTCCCTCCACCCTCAACTGTAGCAACTCTAGGATTTGGAATGCTCTGTGCCATGAGGGTAGTGGCTGGCAAGCCAATGGGTTTAAAGGTCAAGTATGACTCCGTATAAGCTGTCTGAGGCTTCTGAGGATGTGTCTACACAGTATTTTGGAGCGAGCCTCCCAGCCCGGGCTGACAGCTGTCTACACAACTATTTTTAGAGTGCTAGGGTGAGCCCTGCTAACCCCAGTCTGTCAACCCAGGCTAAGAGGCTGGCTCCAGAATGCTGTATAGACCCACCCTCACTGCAGCATGAGCATCTTAAATGCTTTCTCCTTGTCACAGTGTGCATGGCTTTCCCTGGGTTGGCTGCCTCGGCTTCCTAGTGGGCTTGGTGTAACCCCTCCTGTCTCCCTCTCTTCTGGGGCCTGCATGGTTATAGCCACTCAAGTGAACTCTCCCTGCTTCTGTCTTTAAGGTGCACTCGGTGATTTTGAGAAGACCAAACCGGTCCCACCGCCTGCCCCTGCTACTGGAGCGGGGGATGCCTGCAGCTCTGAGAAGTCGCCAGGCGATGCAGCCCAAGTATGAGCTCGGAAAGTCCATCTGAGTGCAGGGTGGAGAGGGCTTGGGGAGAAGTTCCCCTTGCTTTACAGATCTGGTAGAGTCCCTTGCTCTTGTGGGCTGGGCTCTTGTCTGGGATTCTTGGCGTCCCATTCTCTCCCCACTCCCCATTCCACCAAGCCTTCCTCCCAAATATGCTGGCCAATCAGGGCTGTAGCTTTGACTGCTGGTCTCTCTCTGGGGGATGAGTAGAGTGGCTTGGTCAGAACTCTGCTATCTCAGGAACTGCCTGTCCTTGATTCCTGTCACTGTGGTTGTGATTGGCCAGAATGTTCTTGTTGCCCATCCACAGAATCAGGCCTTGGGAGCCATATGGCAGGGCTGTTCGGGGTCCAGCCCTTTGTGTCTGGAATTCACGCTTCCTGTGGATTGGTCGGGACACAGTGGAAGCTGCTTCTGTTCAGTCCAGTTCAGTAGCTGGAAGGGCACTCCTAGTGGGTGGAGGTGGTGGGGATTGGGCTAGTCTGGGACCATTCATTGCAAAGGTCACTGTTTCTGATTATTGTGACTTACCCAGATACAGCTGTAGTTGGGACCATGTTTTTGGAGGGATTTTAATGACTAGAGCGGGATCTGGGAGTCAGAGCTCCTGGCTTCAATTCCTAGGTCTGTCACTGACTTGCTGTGTGACTGTAACACTGACAGACCCCGGTCATTGGCGGGCAGAATCCAACCTGGGATCTCTGGAGCTAAATGCATGAGCCTCTGCTGAATGAGCTAAAAGCCATATGGCTGTTAGCTAAGGCTGTAGAGAACACTCATAATCTCTCTCTCGCTGAGTGTTCTCGGTGCCACTGAATGGGACAGAACACCACACCCAGGAGGTGTGTGGGTTACATGAGCACAGGCAAGTTGCGTCCCCTCTGGGCGTGAACTTCCATGCCTGTAAAAAGGTCCAAATCTCTACCTCAATTTCGAACCCAGCCTGAACACTTTGAATGCTTTGATTTATTCTGTTTTTACAAGTCTTTGTTCTTGCTGTGTCTTTGTGTTTCCCATTGCTGGGAGCAGAACAGCAATTGTGCAGGAACCTGTTACCAGGAGACTCAGCTCCGTTTCACAGACTTGGCAAACTTGGATCAGCACTGGAATTGTCCTGTGGTCCTTCCTGGGCTTTGGTCCTGCCCAGGTGCCCAGGGAACACCCATTTGCATCTCATGGTCCCTGTGGGAAGATTTTGTTCTGAGTGGGGCACAGAGCTCTGTGACACCATGGTTTGCTTGCTTCCTTCCAGCACTCCCTCTTTGCCTCCCAGGAGAAGTTCTTCCAGGACCTGTTTGACAGCGAGCTGGCAGCGCAGGCCACAACAGAGTTTGAGAAGGCCATGAAGGAGCTAGCTGAGGAAGAACCCCACCTGGTGGAGCAGTTCCAGAAGCTGTCAGAGGCCGCTGGCAGAGTTGGTGAGGAGCGGGTGTCGCACTGTTACCCTTTGCGTGGCGTTGAGTCTGCTGGAGGGGGAGCTATCTGGATTTAACATTAGGGGAGTTAGCTGTCCAGTGGGTTAGCACAGGGGCCTGGGAGTCAGAACACCTGGTTTCTGTCACTGGCTCGTTGGGTGGCCACAGGGTAGTTGCTTCTCCAGGTGATACCTTGCTACCTCTCCGTGGCATGGAGGGGCTTAACTGACGGTTGGTGGGCTGTGAGACAATCGGATGGCTTCAGGGGAGCATTGTAAAACTCGCTGTAGTATCAATTGTCCAGCACAGGCAGTGGCTGCTCAAGCATCTCATGTGTTGCCTCATTAAGGTCCATCCACCCTGACCAGAATGGGAAGAGGAGAGTTCTGGCTCAAGAACCCATCAGCCCTTGACTCCTCCGGCTGCCATTGAGGGGGGAAAACTTCCACTAGTTTTTTTGCAGAGTGAAATATATGAAACCAAGGGACAGTCTAGGGCCTTGGGTTAGGAACATGGGAGTGGCCCAACCTGGGGCCATTAGGTGCAGTGTGTGTTTCCAACAGCGGTTGGTATCAGCTGCTTCAGAGGACGGTGCAAGAAATCCAGCCATTATGGGACAGCCTGTCCCATGCACAGCTAGCTCCTGAGCCCAATAGTCAGTGACTGGCTTGTGCAGAGGGTGAATAGCCCTTGCAAAATGTTATTTTTAAATATTTACTAGTCTAACGCTGGCTATGCTCATTATCCATGTAAAGTCTTATCGTCTCTGATTCTCCCTAAACTCTTGGCCTCAGTGATAGTCTGTGGAACTCACTGCTACCCAGTATCCATGGCTCATGTGAAAAAAGGTGTCCTTTTATCAGTTTTGGATTTGCCAGCTGTCAGTTTCACTGTGTAATCCATCCACATGATTTCTGTGAATGAGATTCCCTCTTTAAGGAACAATATTCCGATATCTTCTTTTATGGTGCAAACTCAGATTACTTACCCATGCTACAAAGAATCTGTTTGAATCTGACCCTAAGGTATGCTTCGAAACCCAACTCCTTCTGACCACAAATAACACCAGGAGAGGAACGTATTAAAATGGAGCATTAAAAAAAAATCAAACCACTACCACTTCACTTAGTGATGCTCGCTGTCATGCCAGAGAGGGCCAGGAATAATTGTAGTAGAAAACATGCAGTCCTGGCACATAATACTGAGATGGAGTTTGTTCACTTTGAAGCCTTGCAGAGCTGCTAAAAGCTTAGGGCGTAGCTGCTCTAGCAAACCTTTACTACTTTAATTTGGCTAGGTCTACACTAGCATAGCTGCACTGGCAAAGCAATTCCAGCATAACTGTACTAGCCTAATGCTCCTAGTGTGGATGCTGCTTGTCCTAGCAAACCTGTGCTTTTGATGTTATAGCTTATTCCACCATCAGCATGCTTTTACCAGCCCGACTGTATCTACCTAGATGCTTTTGCCAGCACTGTTATGTGGGCCACAGTGATGTTAGCAGAAGTTTGTAGCTTTACCTCATACCCATACAGCTAGAGCAGCAAAAAACAAAACAAAAAACCCTGTAGGGTCGATGCAGTTATACTGGTTTAAATGCTTATCTAAGTATGCTTATTCCAGTTCAGGAAGCAAAATCAGCTGTCCTTGTATAAGATACCTTTGTGTAAGTATAACTGAGTCCATGCTATGGGTTTTGTTGATATAACTTGATGGGTACAAAATCACCCCCAACCAACATTGTTATATTGGTGTAACTTTTCTAGTGTAGACCAGCCCTTACAAGCATCTAAAGAGAGCAAAAAAAAAAAAAAACCATGCAAAGCATATCTGTCGTCTTTAAACAATGCTTCCTTTCATGTCTGGGCCGTGGGTTCAGGTGCAGAGGAGCACAGGCTGATGGGGAGTTTGGGTTTCCTCTGTCTGTAAACCTTATCCCTGATCCATGCCCTCTTCACGTTCCTAATCAAAGGGCAGAAGAGAGTTTACACAGAGCTGAGCATGTTGTTGTCCACAGCCCCAAGCAGCCTCTTCCCAGTGACTGTCAGGGTCTTGAGACTCAACTCGCTCCACATGTGCAGGGAGACCAGAGTCCACCTTGCAGATCTAAGGGTATAGAGATTTGCCCTCATTTCCAAGGAGCAGCAAACATCTAATCAGCAAGCACCATGGTCTGTTGGTCACTGCACCACCCTGAGAGTCTGGAGGGCTGAGTTCTCCCATTTCTGCCTTGCTCTGTGACCTGGGTAAGTCATGTCCTCTCTCTGTGCCTGCAGAATTGGGTGTGATAATCCCAAGGCACCTTTAAAGAAGCTCTCTGAGGTCTGTGGGTTAAAAGAGCAGCAGAGAAAGTGAAGTATTGTTATTACGAAGGTCGCCTGGGTCCGCAGTCCCATCTCTGCTATTGGAAATTCTCTCTGTTGCGTACATAGAAGCGCTAATAACTTGGAGCCGTAATTTAACCTGGTAATAGCATGAGTATTTGTCTGATCTAGCATTTCTCCCTCGATCTCCACAGGAAGTGACACGACATCCCAACAAGAATTCACCTCCTGTCTGAAAGAGACGCTCAGCGGCTTGGCTAAGAATGCCAACGACTTACAGGTAAAGCATCTGCTGAGGTTCCCGGAGCTTGGTCATGTTCTGACCCAGTTCAGATGAGGTGACTTCCAGTCCAGACCCTGACTCCTCTGGGGCTGAGATCCTGAAGGGAAATAGCTTGAAAGATGCCAGAGGAGGAAGCAGCAGGTTGCAGAGGTGTTTGGGGCACAACAATCTGGCTTCTGCATCACAAGAGAGCATTCACTTGTCTTGATGGTGGCACAGTAGGGGGTGCTCCTCCCTCTACCAGGGACGTTCTCTGTGCACTAGTCCTTGCGCTGGTTGCCTGCACTCTTTCCGACCCCTGTGATGTGCTGGATGTAAATCTCCTTATTTGTGGGGTTTGGTTTCCCTCTCCAGAACTCCAGCATGTCGGAGGAAGAGCTGGCGAAAGCCATGGAAGGCCTGGGCCTGGAAGAAGGCGACGGCGAGGGGAATATCTTACCCATCATGCAAAGCATCATGCAGAATCTCCTGTCCAAGGATGTGCTCTACCCCTCCCTCAAAGAGATCACGGAAAAAGTAAGGGGCTGGGAGCTGGCAGAATGGCACGACCCCACCCCCGCCTCGAGGGTCACCATATCTCCATGTCCTTTGCTCCTAGTACCCTGAGTGGCTGCACAGCCACCGCGACACCCTGCCTGAAGAGCAGTTTGAAAAGTACCAGGAGCAGCACAGCATCATGGGTAAAATCTGCCAGCAGTTCGAGGCTGAGCAGGCTACAGACAGTGACGCCGAGCAGAAAGCTCGCTTTGAAATGGTGTTGGATCTCATGCAGCAGGTGAGCATGTCCTCTTTTAGAGCCCACCTTTGGGGGCCTGCACCCTCTTTCTAGCCGTGAGCTCTGCTGAGGGGGTCTCAGTCCTGGCGTGTCAATTGGGATGGGGCTTTTGAGAGCATTTGTCCACTAGGAACCAGACTGAGAGCCCAGACTCGCGTCGCTCAGGCCACAGAAGCACTGTTGGTGACATCCCAGCTCACTCCTGACCTCTGCTGGGCCAGGATCTAGCCACTGAGGGGCGAGGCTTTGCCTTTCCTGAGCCATCCCCTCACGCTGGGCTGTACAGCTGGACACATGCTGCTTGGAGCTGCTCTCCCTTAATGCTCTTGTCTCTCTTCCAGCTCCAGGACCTGGGGCATCCTCCCAAGGAGCTGGCTGGAGAGTCGGTGAGTGTGGAACGTACATTCCTCCCGTAGACACGGCCTGATTCCCAGCCCTGGTCTCAGCACCCTTAGCCCCCATTGCAGTCAAATGGGAATTTAGAGCCCTCTGCTCCTGAAGGGATTGGGCCTCTAGTCTTCAGGCTCATCTAGGAGTCTGCTGGGAGATGGTAGAGCTGTCAGGTAGCCCTGGACCCTTCTCTAGCTGCTCCACTATTCTATCCTTTGGTTGGTATCTAGCAACAGAAGGCAGCACCTCCTTGCTACTGACTAGATCAGTGCTGAGTGCCTTTTGGGCTGGCAGGGACGTGAAAGGATTGACTTTCCCGATGGGATCAAGCAGTGTCTTGATGGGATACAGGAAACCTTGGGGCCACTGCATATTCCTGGCAAGGAGAGCTCTCTAGCGGCTAGAATCCGAACTCAGTTCTGTGTGCTGGTTTGACTCCTGGCTCTGACACCCGTGTGCTGTGACCAGGGGCAGTCCTTTCTGTGGCTCCATTCTCCAGTGTAAAATGGGGGTAATACTGGTTCTGGGGAGAATGGGACATGTGCAGCTTCGTTAATGTCTGGAGGGCTTTGATGAGGTGCTGCCGGGGACTAATTCACACTTCTGTAGTCATCTGCTGTACTGACAGGTAGAGGCCTAATTAGTCAGGTGTAACCCTTTGTCACCTAGTGGTGCTTATTCCCCTGCTGGCTGGTTCCAGCCAAAGGAAAGAATCAGGTGGGTCTGCCCAGGAGAACAGTGTTGCTGGATTTTAAAAGGAAAAATCTTCCTGAGCAAATCTACCAGCTGCTGTTTCTGTGCACCCTACTCAGACTTGTGCCTCTGGTAGGAGGGTGAGTGGCTGGGGATAGCTCAGTGGTTAGAGCACGAGCCTGGGATGTGGGAATTCCCCCATCCACCACAGACCCCCTTCTGGAACTTGGGCCAGACATTCAGCCTCTCTGTACCTCTGTGAAAGCAGGGGTAATAAGGTAGTGAGGTGCTTTGAGATCCACTCATGAAGAGCCCGATACATGAGCAAAGCGTTTATTATTTCTTGTTGGGATGCCATGCTGGGCCAGCACTGACCTGGGCCCTGCTTCACTGAGCTGGGAAACGGTTCCAGGGACCTCGATTGCACGTAGCGTTCGATTTCTGCTTCTCCGTGCAGCCAGCAGTGTTGTTCCTGACCAGACTGCTCTGCTGCCTTACCGCCATTGTGCTCGTGCATTGGCATGCCTCTCCCAGAGGGCCAGGCTCTGCAGCTAGGAGCAGGCCTCTGGGGCAAGTCCATCTCCAAGGCTCTGCACTGGGGGCTGGGGTTAGAGGTGGCTGATCCAGAGCCAGTGCAGCGTTTGTGGCTTTCTCCCCCCACTGGGCAGCATCTGTTGTAGCCAAGCCTGGCCCAGGTAGATCTGAGCTATAGACCCTGTCCCTGGTCTCACAGCTGGTGCCTGGGACATGCCTGGGGTGTATGGATGTGCGGGGCTATATGCATGGGACAAGCTCTCCCTTGCCAGAGCTGGCTCCTTACAAGGCTCCTAGGTGTCTCTGCACTGGGCATGTTGGGCCATTTGCCTACTGTTGGTCTAGCACCTGCAATGTCCCTCAGTGCCAGGAGCACTAGTTCAGAGGGATCGCTCTGCCCTTTCATGGCGTTGTCAGAGCGAGCTGGTAGAAGTGTTGGCAGCTGGTCTGCACTCGTGCTCTCACCATTCGCACCAGCGCTGGCAGTGGGAGAGCTCTGGAACATCCTTGGAGCAGATGAGCAAGTTTCCAGCCCCACTGCAGCATTGTTAGAGCTCATGCCCCTGGGAGGCTGCTACAGGGCTTGTCTGCACACAAGCTGTAGTGCTTAACTGTCCAGGTCTAGTTAGTAGTGCGGATGCAGTTAGATCGGTATAAAGGTGCTTATCCCAGTGTAGCCTATGCCCAGAAGGGAAGGGAAATAAACTATTCCAGGGGAAGGCACCTCTAGACCAGACTTCCCCACTAGGGGCTGTCCTGGTATCACTATATTTGTAAAAATCTCACATGTTTAACTGGCATCGTTATGCTGGTATGAAAGGTGTGTGTAGACCAGGCCATGGCCATTCTGGAGTAGTTTGGGACTGCTGGCTCTCCCCTGCTCTCTAGCTGTGCAGTGAATTGCTCTCGAAGGCTCTCTGCGCTCCAGTTTGCTGGGCTTCCCCAGGTGCTGAGACAACCGCTTTCCCTGCAGCCTTCCCACCGGGGGAGTTTCTGCCTGGGGCCCTTTCTCACAGAAGAGGGCCTAACTAGGGGGGTGGGGATGGGGAGAAAGCCAGCAGTGCGCTAAACCCCATGTCCTCCTGGATTCTGATCACATGCTCACCTCTCATCTTCCTCGGAGTCTTTTCCTGTTGCCAGTGATACCTGGAGGGGGTAGGAAAAGGTGCCCCCTGTGGAATGCTGTGTGCGGGGCTTAGCGCTGGTCGCTGGCAGGCCCTAGCACTAACCGAGCCCAGGAGCCCAACAATCTGTTTGCGAGCACGACAGGTGCAGTGACGTTTTGAAATGTCTGCGACTTCCAAAACAGCCGTGAATCAGCCCCTGGCTCTTCCCCTTAACTGGGCATTACAGAGCAGCTGACGCTGGGTGGAAAAACAATCTCTAGGAGCTGTTCGCTGGCACAATACGTTGCCTGAGAATAGGCTGTTCTTAACCCTTCGCTGACCATGGAGCTGCAGCCTCATTGAGGGTGGAGGGGAATTATGTTCCCCAAGCCATGTAATCTTTAACCCCTTAACTGCTTGTCCTCTGCCTGCCTGTGCTGCGATTGGTCTAATGCTATAGCTCTTGTCTAGGCAGCATAAAACTCTGAGGTCTAGCACCTTGTCCCTCTCCTAGGAGAGCTGGAATTCCTTTGGGGAAGGAGGTATGACAGGAATAGGACCCAGGAGGCCTATTCCAGGTTCTTGCTGATTGGGAGACACTCTTAACCTGTCCATGGCTCAGTTTAGCCCTCCAAAACAGGGACAATGCTATGCATCGCACCACTGCCCTCTGCTGGCTTAAATGAGAACTGCTCAGTGTGTCATAGGTGCTACACTGCTGGAAGATGGAGAGTCTCATTTAGCGCAGGTGAAGGGGGTGGTACTTTTGCCTTGAAAGACATGCTTAGAAGGACTTTGGTTCTGAGAGAACATGGATCTTCCCCTACATCCCTTGTCAGTTTCTTGACCATAATCTACCTGGAGCAATAGATTTTACTTTGTCCATTGCCTGTTTTGCTCCCAAATCCACATGGTGTGATGGGGGTTCTTGGGAGAGGATTTGGGGGCAAGGCTGGCCCAGGCTGTTTGGAAGGTACCCTCATGCCAGGGCTTGCTGCGGAGCCCATGCACAGTGGGCTGGGTGCCAAGTGTCAGGATCTCTGGCAGCCAGAGCGAGGAAGCTGTGAGCTTGTGGCTTTACTGCAGTAGGAATTCAAGGCCGCCTTAGGAGTGCATTCCTGGGGATCAGAACAGAGTACATTTCAAAGCCTGCCTATTTGTAAGCGTAGCACTTAGCAGCTGGGCTGAGACGTGACATCACCCCTCCTGTCTGAAAAGCAAAACCTTAGGGTCCATTTGGATCAGGATCTGAGCTTTGCTCGTTGGGCCCCTCTCTGCTTAGCTGTTAATTCCCTAGAGTTCTCCAGGAGCAAACAGAGCATGTGGAGAACTGGCTAGGGAAACACCTGCTTGGCTAGTACCTTTCTCTGTTTGCATAAAATCCATGAGATCTTGGCATGTTACGCTGTGATTGGATGGGACTTTGCTCCCTCCCCTTGGATCATATGGCTGTGGGGTGGGAGAAGGGGTGCAGGAGAGGATCCCTGAAGATCTCCCTATCAGTGCACCAGAAATTGCCCAGCACACCTGGATTGCAGAGGCTTGGGGTTGTCAGGACAGCTTTAACCCAGCCACCTGGGTGTGGGAAGGTCCTGAAGGAAGCCAGCAGAATTCCTGGAAGGTCATTGTCACCATGTAAGTGCCCAGTCCAGCTGCTTCTCGCACCGCACTGCCCAGACTGTGATGTAGGGCCACTCCTAGGGGCCAGGGATACAGCCACTGTTCCGACTCCCCCTCCCACACACCCTGAGGAGATGGGTGTGTCCTGCGGCCTGGTGCTCAGAGGGCGGACAGCTGGCTGGTGTTTCCACACTCCTCCCCAAACCGACTTGGCCCAGGAGCTGAAGCAGAAGGAGCTGCTGAACTCTGTCTGATAGCACAGCGACAATTAACGGCATGTAATGCTTTATTGATACTCACACTGGTAGCAGCCTAGAGCACTTTGCAGGCACAGCCTTGCGACGTCGCTGTGTGGTAAGGTGGCGACGTCCAGATCTGCAGGCAGAGCTGCTATGTCATTGGCACCCCAGATGGCTTTTGGGAAGTGCAACTTCTCTGGTGATGGCACGTTAGCAGCTCTGCTGGGGGCAGAGGCGTGTGTGTGTGTCTGTGTGTGTGTCACTGCTGGGTTTCTGCCAACTAAAGGAGAGGGCCAAGGAAGCTCCTTGCAGGGGTGGCTCCCAGCGTTGGATGTCAGCAGTGGACCCTGGCTAGCAGGCTGCAGAGCAACAAGTCTGGGAGGGGAGCCAGGCCAGGCGCTGAGCAAAAGGTCATTCTGCCTGGGGGCAGGAGGGAGGGACGGCTGTCAGCTTGCTCACCTCTGCTGGAGGAATAAGTGAAGCATAAAGGGAGGCTGCAGGAACAGAAGGGGTGAGGGGGAAGCTGTTCTGCGAAGAAGGGTCGCTTACACTCCCTTCTGATGTACTCTAACCCTTTATTAAGGCAATAAAAACACATAGGTCCACTCTGCGCAGTGGCCAGAGATCCTCTGCAGTCACTAAAGCTGTACTCCGGACAGTTCTTTCTAAGAGGCAGTGTGGCCTAGCAGATAGGGAGTCAGGGGAGCTGGGTTCTGTTCCTGGCTCTGCCACCTGCTGTATAACCTTGGACAGGTTGCTTCCTGGCTCTGTGCCTCAGTTTCCCCTCCCACCCTGTGACTATTTAGATTGTAAAACAATTGTGAAGGATGGTGTCAGTGTTTGCACAGCACCCAGCCCACTTGAATATGAGTAATGAGTAACTTCCTGTAGGCAGGCAGGTCCATAAAGGCCTGGTACCAGTGTGGGGTGGAATGCTACCGTGGTGCTGGGACGGAAGGGAGGCAACAGTGGGTGGTTTGAGGCAGCTGGACAGTGTGTGCCATGGGCAGCTAGGCGACCAGCGTGACACAAGGAGGCCGCTGAACCTGCATGCTCCTGGTTGGAGAAGGGGGGCATCAGGATTTCCATTACAGCGGGAATGTAACTGATGTCCGTACTGGGCCATCTCCCTGCTGGAGTGCAACCTGGGCACAGTGCTGACCCCCACCCCCAGCTGGTCCATCTGCCCAGCTCTCTGATGTCATGTCTGTCTAGCTCATGGTTGGCTGGAGGCCAATACAGGCTACGAATGGGGGTTAGATTCTTGCAGTTGGTACCTAGGTGGGATGAGGACTTCAGCTGATGCGGGTGCAGGTGTGCATGGGGAGCTTGTACTGCCACTGCCCAGGTCACACCTGCTGTATGGATAGAGCCTCTTCCGTCCAAGTGCCCATCAGGTTAGGCCTGGTAGCTCCCAGGTGCGTCAGTATTACTCCTGCCCCTACCCCCCACCTACTGGGGCGAAAGGAAGTGGAGCCACAGACGCGACGTGAGTGTGAGTAGTCTTGCACTGAGCCAGCAGCAGAGCCAGACTCCGGGCTCCTGGGTTCTAACATCTTGCCCACATGCCGTCTGTCCAGCACCTCTTGTAGCACTAGGCTCACAGCCAGAGGCTCCGGCCTAGTCGCACCGAAGCCGGACAGCGGGTGGCCATGCCATGCCTTCCCACGTGCTAACCCTTCCCCTCCTTTTTCCCCAGCCACCTGGGCTGAACTTTGACCTCGATGGACTCAACCTGTCAGACACAGCCAGCGCCGGAGGGGACCAGTGTCGAATCATGTGATTGCCACCCACGCCAGCCGACCAATAGGAAGGGGTGATGGGTGTAGGTTGGGGGGACAGCCCCCTGGAAATGCTGCAGTGCCTAGAGCATGCCGGGTTCTTTAACATATAATTAAAAATCCAGATAGGATGGCCTCAGTCTGTGACTTTCAGAAAGTCTTACGAGATGCCAGTTGACGAGAGAGTGCGCCCTGCAGAGACGCCTGGAGTGCTCTGACCACGTGGTTCCTCCCTGGTGCCTCTGGGCTACGAGTCCCCCAAACTGGTGCTCTCATTCTTTATAATTAGCCTTTGGGGTGCTGGAGTCCTGGTGGAGTGGCCCCAGCTGTTCAGGGGCCCCTCGTGGTGGGGGTGGGGGGAGCAATTGCCTTTTGACTGTGTGGTTTGAAATCTAATCCTCGTTCAAAGGGATAACCAGTCCCCTCGGCCCAAGAGATTCTTATCCAAGTCTCTTCCTGCTGCATCCGGTCCCCTACGACAGGCAGGGCTGGGGGGGTCTCACTGCTGGTTCTAGGGAGTACTGCAGAAGCTGAGCTAACTCCTGGGCTGGTCTCAGCCTCCCCTGCACACAGGCTCTGTTAGTGACTGAGCCAGCCCAGGTGGGCGGCGCTGGCTTGAGGGCAGAGAGGGGAGCTGGAGCTGGAGAGGTCTCGCTGCAGGGTAGATGAGCAGCTTAGTGTAAGTGTGTTAGGGTTGGGGGGCCCTAAAAGGGCCTTTGTCACTCTTGTGCCATTAGCAGCACTTACACACGCTCACTGGTGCTGCTGAAAGGGGGAGCCAGGCCTGTACTGAACTCTGTTCCTTTTCTCACGCTCACTCCCCTCGGCTCTGGTTTCAGCGGGCAAGGGCTTTCTCCTAAAGGCTGGTGCCCTGCCAGTGGCCGTCTCTGCTAGAGCAGCCGCTGTCTAACTCCGTCCAGCGGCGGAGCATACGTTGCACGTCCCCTTCCTCAGACCCAAACTCTAGACCCCAGCGTGCCAACACAGTCACTGCCCTGGTCCCCAGTGACAGCTTGCTGCATCCAGTTATCTCTCTACTGCAAGTCAGATTCCTCTGACCACTGATCCCCTCTGAATAATGAGACCAGGCCTCCCAGGGACTGAAATCTGTCAAGAATTTACGCTGCCCAGCTGGATTTGCTATCAACTACCATCCAGCCTGCAGGCCCCACGCAGTATGTGCCTGTGAGCTCCCCCACTGAACTTCTCCAAACACCTGCTTAAAGGCATCTGCACTGAGCCCCCTGCGAGGGAAGCTAACACAGAATAAATTGCCACCTGCACACAGCTGTCTCTCCTCTCCCTCATCCAACTCTCTAATAAACACCCGGTGTTAATTAACTCAGATCTGTACCTTTCTCTCTGCCAGCTGCCAGGGTGACAGGTGGGGACTGCATTCTAGGGGAGCAGCTCAACTTGGCCCTGGCTAAGCTTAAGAATGCAGACTCCTTCAGAGCGGCTTGTGAAAACCCTGCTGGCTGCTTCCAAATCCTGAAAGGGTGCTGCCCAGCAGGGCCCTCCGGGTACCTGGGCTTACGAGGGGGAGCTAGAGCAGAAGTGATTGCCAAGGCAACGCTGGCAGCTATCAACTCCGTGGTGTGATTTCCCCCCCTGCCCCCCCCATTGGCAGAACCTGATTGTACACAATTGGCTGTCTAAATTCCCTGAATAAAGGTGGTGACGCTTTCCCTGGCTCTGTCCTCCATGTCTGTCTCGATGGGGTGGGGGATCTGCTGAATGGGGAAATGAAGGGGCAAGGAATAGAGCACAGACACCTGTGGGGAGGAGTTGCAAGCGCATACGCCCTTCTCCCCACTCCTTGAATCTGGCTCTCCCTAGCCAACTGTACAGAGCAATACAACCAGGCTCACCCATGGTAATCCCTGCCCAGGACAGGGACACCTTGGGCTCCTGCTCAAAGGCTCCACTTTTCCCTATGGGGCCCTCTAAGGACATGTTGAGGAGAGGAACGTTTCTTTCTGAAAGAACTGGCACCTGAGACTGCTAATCTGGCAGCAAGGATATTTAATCTGTGCGGGGGTGGTACTGTATGACAGGAGAGTAGCTAGCGCTGTGCCTGTGTTTAAGAAGGGGTGCGGGGAGGGAGGGAGTGAACAGGGCAAATACAGACGTATTCGTCTGACCTCAGTAATAGGCAAGGCTGTAGAACAAATGGTGAAGGAAAAAATAACTTTGTGGCGGTAAAGGGGTAGGGTGACCAGATAGCAAGTGTGAAAAATCAGGGCAGGAAGTGGGGGGTAAATTGGCGCCTATATAAGACTAAAGCCCCGAATATCGGGACTGTCCCTATAAAATCAGGACATCTGGTCACCTTCTAGAGGGGATGTAATGCAACAAGGGTTAACCCTATGGAGATCATGCCAGACTAACCTGATTGCCACCTTTGAGAAAATAACTGGTGGGTTTTTTTTTTTTTTTCAGATAAGGGAATTGCAGAAGATCCAACATACTTGGATTTCAGCAAAGCATTTGACTGGGTGCCAGCTGGGACACTGTTAGTGAAGTCAGGGGAGATGGGTTGTGCTAAAAGGCGGATTATTGGACTGAAGGGAGGTGACTATTGGAGTTTCTTAAGGAGTCCTCTTGGGGCCAGTCTTTGTAGTAATGACCCTGGCAAGAAAAGTAGGAGCGTGCTACTGAAACTTGCTGCTGATACGAAGTTGGGCATTGTCATCAATGCAGAGGAGGGCTGGACTGTTAGGCAGGAAGATCTGGATGACCTTGAGGCCAGGAGTGACAGAAATGGGAGGAAGTTCAATAGTGCAGAGTCATGCACTTAGGGTCTAATCAGAAGAATATCTACTACCAGCCAGGGCCTCATCAGTTGGAAGCAGGAGGAGGAGAGAGCCCTGGCTGTGTGTTGATCACAAGATGACTATGAGCCACCAATGATACGGGAGCAGCGAAAAAGGCAAATGCAATCCTAGGGCATATCAGTAGGGAGAGAGAAGTATTAATACCATTGTACAAGGCCCTGGGGAGACCTCAGCTGGAATACTGTGTCGAGTTCCTGTCACCCATACTGGAACAGGTGCAGAGAAGAGCTACTAAAATGATCAGGGGACAGGAGGGCCTGTCTTAGGAGACTGGAAAAGCTTGGCTTGTTTAGCCTAGCAAAAAGAAAGCTGAGTGGGGCTATGATTGCTCTCTATAAATACAGCGAGGGTTGGAGGAGATCCCAGGAATGGGGAAGAGCTATTGAAGCTAAAGGACAATGTTGGCACAAGAACAAATGGGGATAAACTGGCCGTGAACAAGTTGGAAATTAGAAGAAGGTTTCTAACCCTCGGAGGGGGAAGGTTCTGGAACAGCCTCTGCGTAGGAATTGGGGGCTGGGAGCAAACAATTTTAAGAGAGAGCTGGACAAATGTAGGAGTGTGATTGTGTGATGAGGTTGCGTGTGATGATAGGGGCAGGGCTCAGCAGCCCTGGGGCTCACTTCTTATGTCTCTAAAAGCTCATGTTTCAGTATTTCTGCAGGCTGCCTGTAGGGGTCAGGAAAGGATTCTCCTGCTACCCCTGCAATGTATTCTCTGATTTTTTGTTTTGTTTTATATCACCTTCCTCTGAAGCATCAGGGATGGCCACGGCTGGGGGTGGGACATTGGACAGGGAGGGCCTGACCTCTGAGGTGGCATCCAGCATTCTCTCAGGTGCTTGGCTGGCTGGTTCTCGCTCACCTGCTCAGAGTCCCCCTGATTGCCATATGTGGGTGTGATGGGTTACCGCACCCACACACACTCTGGGGTGCCACCTAATGTACTGGGGTACCACTGAGCCTCCCTGTTTCAGCAGCCTGGGCTCCCTCACCCTGTCCTGCTGTGCCTCCTCCAGCACACACACAGGTAGGGACACGCCCAGCTGCAGAAAGACACAGACACTGAAATAAGAACTGCGTGGAAAGGCTTTCAGCTAGGGAATTGTCCAGCACTCAAGTGCACTCCCCTCTGGAGAGTCAACCCAAAATTGTAGTGTTTTGCGCTGCACCGAGAACTGTACAGTGTAAGCTAATTGAAATTTGCCCTCTCCCTCAATGTGGAAAGAGATAAGCACACTTTTGGCCCCCCAGTTATGAATTCCACCAACTGGTTTAGAGATAAACAAAAACAAGTTTATTAACTACAAAAGATAGGTTTGAAGTGATTATAAGGGATAGGAAACAGCAAAGCAGATTACGGAACAAATAAAACACACAAATTAAGCTTGATACATTAAAGAAACTGCTTACAAGTAGTAATTTCTAACCTTAAAGGCCAGACACCTTTTCCAGCCTGGGCTCAGCTATTCTGCCCCCCCACCCCCCCTTCTCTTTGTTTCTTCGATGTTTCCAGCAGTCATCCTGGGCGGGATTCAGTGAAGAAAGAACCTAGATTAACTCACTTCCCTGCCTTAAATAGGATTTACATATGGCGGGAATCCTTTTTTTCCCCAGTTTGATCCCCACCCCCTATTAGTGGAAGATAGTCCAAGATGGAATCCAGTACCAGATGACATGGTCACATAACCCTGCAGTGTCAAAGCAGCCATGAGTGAAGGTTATTTGCAGCATCCCTGGAAACTTCTCAGGAAGGTGGGAGATTAGCATCTTCAAAGTCCTAGTGTTCCCCCTAATGGCCCATCCAGGCTGATTGCATTTTGTCTGGTGGGCATTCCCCAGGTATAAACACAGTTGTAATAGGTACATAGCCAATATTCCCAACTTCGGATACAAAAATGATACATGCCTACAAATAGGATAATCATAGTCAGTACATCATTACCTTTCCAATGATACCTTACATGTCCCATCTTGCACAAAAAAATCTTAGTTATGCCATATTCATATCATGACCATATCTCTATGGTATAGTGTCACAGTGGGGTCAGGCGGGAATTTCCCCCCAACTCAGATTGGCAATGACCTGGGGGAGGAGGGGTTGCCTTTCTCTTCAGTATGTGAGCCACTTGGCAGGATTATCTAGGTATTTCTCATGGAATCATTTCCCTGCCATTGCAGGGGCCTCGGACACTGGTGCACCTTGGTCTCTCCTATTCTCTGCCTGTGGCACATCATCTCGTCTCGTGCGGGCTGGAATACTTCAGTCTACTTTGGTTGTTGGGTTTAGTGTGTGGGTGCTGGGTGGGGTTGGTGGACCGTGAGATATAAGAGGTCAGATTAGACGATCTGGCCACCCCTTCTGGCTTTAAACTCTGACTCTACTTACCAGTGGATTGCAGTTGCCTCTCATGACCGCTGTTTTTATTGTGAGCAGTTCTTAAAAAACCCGTGTGACCGGGTCCTAGGGGGGAGCCAGCTATGGTCACTCAATTAGGGTGAACTGCAAAGGACGGGGCAGACAATCCCCGTAAACCTGGTGGCTATTCCAATACGTGGATTAACCAAGGCAGCATAAAAAAGCTTCTTTATTACTTTACTGGTTACTCAGAAGTCCAAACAGCACAGTTCCCTTAAAGTGATCCAGCCTCCGGCCTCCATCCAGGTACCCACGTCAAATATGATCATTTCTGAAAATCTTGTTTCATCATATAAAAGAGAAGGTCCTACCAATCCCAAAGGATCAGACCAATCCCAAAGGATTAACCTCCTAGGTTAATGGATGTTTCAGATTTTGCCCAAAGACACGCTACAGCCAATTCTTATTAACGAAACTAAAATTTATTCAAAAAACAAAAGAGAGAGAGAGTATGGTTAAAAGATCAATATACAGACAGACATGAGTTCAATTCACTGAGCTTCAGATTCACAGCAGAGATGGTGAGCTTTGTAGTTGCAAAGAGTTCCTTTAGAATTCAGTTCATAGGTCATAATCCAATGTCCAAATCTCATATTCAGGGCGTACCAGTATAACTGGGACCTCAGTCTTGTGACTCAAACTTCCCCTGAAGAAGTCTAAGCAGATCTGAAATGACAGAATCAGGGCCCAAGGATCTCTTTTGACAAGTTGGAATTCCTTAGGAAACAAAAGGTAATTAGGATTACTTTGAAGGAGATCCATCACCGGTACTTAGCTATACAAATTAACATAAGGCCATTTGCTTGTTCCTCCACCATTCACAGATTATTTACTATACATTTCAAAGAGAGATGAATACAGAGAAATCCCGTGTTTGCAATTCATTTAAATGCTCGGATGTTCTTTTGACCTCTGAATTATCAGAATACAGCATAGACAGGGATTGTTGATTACATTGTGGACCCTACTCACCCATATGTAAATACACAAAACACAAACATTATCTCCCCACAGGTCTTTTGAGGGTTATTTATTTTGCAGGATGTTTAACCCTTTCTAGCCATGTGTCACGCCCTGTTTAATGCCTTGATTATCATACACATTGTAAAGAGAGTGGTCACTTTGGATGGGCTATTACCAGCAGGAGAGTGAGTTGGGGGGGGGGGGGGGCAGAGGGTGAGAAAACCTGGATTTGTGCTGGAAATGGCCCAAGGTATACATCTGATGAAGTGAGCTGTAGCTCACGAAAGCTCATGCTCAAATAGATTGGTTAGTCTCTAAGGTGCCACAAGTACTCCTTTTCTTTTTGCGAATACAGACTAACACGGCTGTTCCTCTGATACACATTGTAATCACTTTAGATAAGCTAGTGATCACTTTAGATAAGCTATTACCAGCAGGAGAGTAGGGTGGGAGGAGGTATTGTTTCAT